ATTCCTTCCTTGATCGCTGTGAATCTCTAAAGGTACACCAAAACGACAGAAGACTTCATGAACTAGATTATCAGCAACTGTTAAAGCTTCTTGATTTGGAATGGCGAAGACTTCTGGCCACTTAGTGAAGTAATCCATCACAACCATGAAATACTTGTTACCGCTTTCACTCTCCGGAAACGGTCCCGCCACGTCAATGGCTATTCTCTCCCATGGTGCACCAACATTGTACAACTTCAATGCACCTCTACTACGAGTCTGAGGTCCCTTTACAGCCGCACAACTTGTACATTTGCGACACCAGTCCTCGACATCGTTTCGACAGTGGACCCAGTAAAACCGTTCTCGGATCTTCAGTAGAGTTCGTTTAAATCCCAGATGGCCTCCTGAACAATCATTATGGTACAGCTGTAGAACATCCGGTACTTTAGCTTTAGGGACAATCATTTGCAAATGACAGCTGTCTCCCCGAACGTTTTCCCATTTACGACACAGAACTCCATTTTGAAGCAGCAAGCTGTCCCACTGGGCCCAATAGCTTTTAGTGGTCGAACTCATCGCTGAGACGTCACTCCACTTGGGCTTGGGAGCACTGGCCTTTATCCATTCCAGAATCGGCTTGATGTCCGGATCTTCCTGCTGTGCATGTAGTAAGCTGTCCTTCCACTCGTTGCTGAGGTGGTCTGCCCTGAGCATCCTCACGGATACCACTTCCTTACTCTCTTGCCTAGTACAATGCTTGCCATCTTCATGACAAGGTCTTCTTGACAATGCATCTGTGTTGCCGTGAGATTTCCCGCTGCAGTGTCTGATAGTAAAGTCGTATTCCTGCTGCTGCTGGGCGGTGCTGTTAGCCGCACTTCCTTTCTGAGACCGTTCACCTTCCCTTCCTAGGGTGTGCTTCGGGCAGCTGGACCGAAGATGGCCACTTTCCCCACAGCCATAGCACCTAGGGCTGTATCTTCTATTGTGGTCGTGAACCGTAACTGCTACAACCTCCCTAGCGAGAGGTGAACGACGATCCTGTCGCCGCCAGGCAGTGCCGTTAGCTGCACTACCCTCCTGATATCGTTCACTTTCCCTTTTTAGGGTTCGCTTAGGGCAGCTGGATCGAAGATGGCCCTTTTCCCCACAGCCATAGCACCTAGGGCTGTATCCTCTGTTGCGGTCGCGAACTGTAGCTGCTGCAACCTCCCCGACGCGATGGGAACGATGATCCTGCCGCACGGCTTCTACCTCCAGTGCATGGGCCAAGGCGTCCTTAAGCGTCTCGTGGTGCCCGAGCCTCACAGCAGCTCTGACTTCCAGGTCGCGGATGCCGTCGATGAATGTCTGAACCAGGTTCCCTTCAATGAGCGCAGGTACAGACCGGTATGCTTTTCGCACCAGCTTCTCCACCTCTAGAGCCCACTGCTGCAGGTTTTCGTTGATGCGCTGCACGCGATCTTTAAGCTGCGCACGAAAGACGTGTTCCAGGTGAGCGTCGCCATATCTCGCCTCCAATGCCTCAAGGAGTTGCTCATAAGTCACTTCCTCACCGAGAGCTTCCAGAACTGTTAAGGCCTGGTCGCGCAGGCCTAGTGTGAGAGCAGTCATGGCCTGATTTTTATTCCAGCCGTTCGCCTTCATAACAGCTTCGAACTGGATTTTGTAGGCTGACCAGGAAGAAGTCCCGTCGAATGGTGGCACCTTGAACCCACGTAGCGAAGGTGTAGTAGCTACTACGGGAGCTGCAATTCCATCTCCAAGCTTGAGTTCATCCAGCGTTTTCTTAACTTGGTTGATTTGGGTCTCAGCTTCCGACAGGCGGTTATCATGTTGAGCAACCTTATCCTTCACCTCCCTTATCTCTTTCCCGAAGGTAGCGTGAAGGTCCTTCATGAGAAGCATCTGCTCTTCCCTATCGCGTTTGAGCTGCTCTTCTAAGCGACGGGCCTGTTCCTCCTGCCGGCGGGCCTGTTCCTCCTGTCCGCGTCGCAGCTGCTCTTCCAAACGACGGACCTGTTCCTCCTGTCGGCGGGCCTGTTCCTCTCGTCCGCGCTGCAGCTGCTCCTGTAGCATCGCCATCAGAGCACCTAAGTCAGGTGCTGCAGATGTAGGAGCTAATGACGGGCCCGCAGCCTCCGTGGCTGGCAGTTGGCCCTCCGACGTCTGCGCCGTTGCACCACCAAATCTCCGCTGGTCCGTCTCATGCTGGCGTTGACTGCGGGTACGGACACCCTCCGTTTCCTCCTTAGGTAAAATCGGCATGATTTTATCCCACTTCTGACACCAATTGTTACGAGCTTGAGGTTCGTGACAATAAAAATTGCCGATAAAATTACCTAAATTAACACTTTAATTTATTTTACACAAATTAAAACTTAAAAAACTAATAATTAAACACACTAATTCACTTTATTCCGCTCCGAAGCTTCGCTTGTATCGCCAATTCCAATACTGCCACGATCGCATCTTGCAGCACCTATTTATTTAAATTAGCAAAGAAATATCCAGAATGTTCAAGTAAACACGCGCAAGGTACCGAGCGTTCAAGTTTCGACTAGGCGCTGTCGGTTGAAAGATTTGTGATGTCATTTTCTCAATGCTCCCCTCGCTCTCGTTCCTGACACTAGATGGCGCTAGTTGACTTATTCACGCAACAATACTTATATACAAGAATTTATATGATAATAAACGCTGCTCTTTCTTTTAAGGTGAGTGACGAAAACCGACAACTACATTATTACTTTCATATTTATCACCATCACTGTAACTCACCACAAGTTCAATTGCTAACCAATCTTTCTTATTGTTTTTCATCACCATTAGCCCATAAATGCCTCCTTTTTTACTAGTGGTGATCGACCTATTATTGAGCGATATGGCAATGTATATGTAATTTATATGAAGCTGCTGTAGTCGGTGCTGACATTATTAAAAGAACAATAAAGCCCCGACTTCAGAAGCTATCGCTTTGGAATTTATTTTATTATTATCAGTTCATTGTAGCCGGCCTTCACTTAACATTAAAACGATTAATTTTTCGACCCTTTTGATTTGACTATATCACAAGCTCAAGTGAAACAATGAAAGTATGTTACGTTATAAACTACATCCCCTATTATTAAGGTTCGAAATATTTCTTTAAGTCTATATGGGATCATCCCTGAAGAATAAAGCATTTAATAAAAATAATAAAGAAATCTAACTTAAATCGGTTCACATTTGACGAAGATATCACGCAAGATGTCTACAAAAAACATACAATCGAATTGAGAAGATCTTCCTTTTTTGAAGTTAGCTAAAATATATATATGTATAAATAGAGATGTGATATCTCTATTTATACATCTACAAGGCTGCACTAAAAGTATCGGGAATGGAATATATCCACTGTTCCTGTCATATTAAAATCTTTTTAAATTGAAAACTCCTTGGTTTTAAAAATCGAATATCATTTATTTATTTTAAAAAAGATTCTCAGTCTTGTCAAACTTGTTTATTCGTTGAGAAAATGGAATTGACTCGAGAAAATTCAAGAGCGATGATTTATTATGACTTTCGAAGTGGTTTAACACAAAAACAGTGTGTTGACTGGATGATTTCTGCATTTGGTGATGAAGCTCCATCCAAAAACACAATTTATCGCTGGTTTGCTGAATTTCGACGTGGTCGTGTCAAGCTCAGAGATGATCCCCGTCAAGGTCGTCCAAAAACTGCAGTCACCCAAGAAAACGTTGATGCTGTGCGTAAGCTGATTGAGGAAGATCGACATGTGACATACCGCGAAATTCAGGCAACTTTAGACATTGGCATGAGTCAAATACAAATAATCTTGCATGAACAATTAGGTGTAAAAAAGTTGTTTTCCCGATGGATACCGCATTCGCTCAGCAGTGAAGAGCAAAAAGCGGCTCGCGTTACTTGGTGCGTCAGAACTCTCGAAAGATTCCACGCAGGATCCTCAAATGCTGTATACAATATCGTATCAGGTGACGAATCCTGGATATACGCGTACGAACCCGAAACAAAAAACCAGTCACGAGTTTGGGTGTCCGAAAATGAGTTAAAGCCAACAAAAATTGTTCGTTCACGGAGTGTTGCAAATAAAATGGTGGCCACGTTTGTCTCCAAAATCGGCAATGTTACGACTATTACCTCTTGAGGGACAAAGAACGGTTAATGCAGAATGGTATGCTAGCATTTGTTTGCCACAGGTCGTTTCTGAACTCCGTAAAGAGAACTGCAACCGCCGCATCATCCTCCATCACGACAATGCGAGTTCTCACACCGCACACAGAACAAAAGAGTTTTTAGAGCAAGGAATTTTTTACAGGAATATTAAAAACTGGAGATGCAACTGGATATGGAAGCTAGTCGACCGAGCCGAACAGGATTTTATAGTGAACAAGTGTATGCGCAAGCACAGGTCAATTCTCTATTCCTTCACTCTCATGTCCTATGAGACGGCAACCCCATACGACCGCAGAAAGATCACTTTACGTGCTTTCCGAGGCACAGGGTTGAAACACCGCCAAGATGTTACTGAGAATTTCTTGACAAAAAAGCCCAATAATTGGTTTTAATCTCGATGCGGGATTCGAACCCGGGATCAACAACAAGAACAAGACCAACGAGGAAGTCAAATTAATAATAATACCTCACGTATCTTTATCGTACGTACACGAGCCGTGATAGCTCAGACGGTTAACGCTCGCTGTAAATATAACAGAACGCGAGTAGCCAGGGTTCGATCCCCGCCGGCACCAATGAAATTGTTAATTGCAATTTTAAGTGCTGATTTACCACGTGCTCGGCGGTGAAGGAAAACATCGTGAGGAAACCTGTATGTCTGAGGAATAAGAAAAAAAATATTTCGAAGACATGTGAAGTTCGCCAACACGCATTGGGGCAGCTCGGCGGGCACTTCCTTGCCTAAAAATCCTTTCAGAAATGAGGGTAAGCCTGTGCCCAGCTGTGGGATGTATATAGGCTGTAACTTTACTTTTTTACTTTACCTTTATTTTCCTTGGATCCAAGTTAGCACCTAACGTCTGCACCCCTTTCGCCAGCTTCGAGAATGGCGAAAGTACCATTTCCTTCGTAGCACTAGACACTGGACTCGCAATATTCTTTAGCTGCCTTAGTGCTGACTCACTGTGGGACTGTGTGATGTTCAAAGTGATTTCGTGCTGTGAATTTGACCGGACGTGGTAGTTGACCCCATCTTGTGCACTTTGCTCGTCGTCGTAGTTTATATCGCTGGAACTGTGCGACAGTTTCTGCGACAGTAGCAACGAATTGGGCGGTGTTGGTTTCGTTTGATCCGGATCGACTTGAATCTCGGGCATTTTAGATGAATCTGTATCGAAAGGGTTCCGCTTTGTTATGTTACTGGGTGTCTTGAGCGTTTGCCTCTCAGCAGTTTCCGTCACGTCTGTCGTTACACCAGGGATGCTGTCTGGAACGTCATTCGGTTCAATTTTAGACGAGTAGAGGGGATTCTCTATTAGTTCACAGTCGTTTTCGGTCTCGCCCTTTTTCTCCTCGCCGGAACTTTTTCCAATGTAATGTTGGGTGTTTTCGAAATTGTCCAAAGTCGGCTCGAAGATATTGGTTCGATTCTCGTCTTCAGAGGAGTAGTCCGAGCTCATTCCATCTGACAGGCTCCCTTTTTTCTTGTCGTTTTTGTTTTGTCCGATGGTGAATATTTTCTTGGTCCGCGAGGCGCTTTGGTCGAATTTCAATTGGAGGCTGGGTCGAGCTTTCGCGTTGAGCGAGTGGCTTAGTTTATTCAATTTGCTGAACTGTTCCGTCATATTGTTCAGGGCTTTGGATCCTGAAATAAAATATATAAAATGTCAATTACCTTAACTGCTTTTTGCGAAGTGACTCGAAGAGTTGAGAAATTGTTGCAAAAACTATGGTGTTGGATATCTGCTTAGTTCCACAAGTTTTAACCCCTCAGTCCCCTTAAAATTCTCATGCAGTCGCAGGCGAATCCCGAGCGGTCGCATGCTACGGCACCGACCCGCAGCACCAAACATTAAAACTTATATTTGGAGACTACTTTTCTATGAAGAAGTTTGGCATTATAAATTCTATACAAAAATCTCCATATAAAAGTCAGGTTTTAAAGAGAAAAAGAAAAAGACTATTGTATTTTGATTACAAAAACAAAACATAACAAGCGAATGTCGGCAGCGTGAAAATCACAATTATTTCAATATATATTACTCGAAATTAATTACGTAAAAAGATAAACACAAAAACTTTTAAACACTAGAAAAATCCAAAAATCAACACAATAACATTCACGCGAAAATGGCGTATGAAATGAACGTAGATAATAAATAAATATCCATAGCATAATTATTTTTATTGCACTAGAGGATAGAAATATTTCATATTAATTCTATAAAGCCAAACTTCTTCATAGAAAAGTACTGTCTAAATATAAGTTTTAATGGTTTAAAGTGCTGTGGGTGTGCGCGATCGAATTCAACTGCTTGGATTTTGACGGAGTAGCGCCGCGGTCGAATTCGACCGTTTAGAGGTTGAAGGGTTAAAACTATATCCTCAAAGCGGTAGTTTATAGAGAAACTTCAGTGCAGTTACATTATGTTTGAGTGTGAATAAATATTAGTATTATATTGAGTGTTACTGTCATGTTCTTTAAGCCATTTGGCCAGCCACGTGCCACTTCAGCTTACAAATCGATGAACCTCTAACCGGTAAGTGTAAGTGTAGCGCGGCCCTCCCTCTAAATGGAGTAACAACCTGGCAGGAAATCGATGGATGTAGTTGACTCAGAACCATGCTTTGTGGCATTCCTCAGGGAGAGCCCATGTTCGGCTGCAGATTTGTAACGGGCTGTAATGTTGATGACGATAGTCATGTTGTTCTATTTATAAAGGACATCGAATGAACTAAACTACAGTGCCATTTTGTAATTCTGGTGCGATTTGTAATTGACTTCGTTTTAAACTTTTCACAATAGGTTTCGTTAAACTTTGTAAACCTATTTAACAATTGAGGTCACATTTCACAACATTAGGTCAGGAGGTGCGATGCGAAAAGAAGATGTTATATATTCCATCCCGATTAGCAAAAACATAAAAAAAATATTTTGCCATAATTTAATATTTCATTCAAACAACAAATAAACTTCAAATATGATTCCTAGCAGAAATGAGATCGTATTCTACTTAGTTAAAAATCTTGTTGGTAAACAAAGTTTTAATTTCAGTATTTTGTATTTTTATAACTTAAAATATTTTAAATACAAAAGACAAGTATATGAATGTAGTTAGATATTTGGATAGTGAAGTAAATTTCAACTAAGTTTTGATATCAAATTATGGCAAAATAATTTTTATGTTATTAGAGATTATTCTCAAAATTATTTAAATAAAAGTATATTACTAAGTAACAACTTTCTGTTATAAAACATATGAAATGAAGTAAGCAGCTTGAAGTAATAACATGATAACATTAAATAAGACAAAGTATGTAAACGAACAGCAATACTGCTCATCATGATGTAATACAGGGCAGGGTTTCCGCGATATAACATTTTTTTAAATTATGTTTTACCAAAAAAATTACCACACCGGACATAATCACGACAGTGATAAAGACTTAGAATGACTGACTCCTCTAAGATAGCTGGTTGTCTGCGCCATACTTAACACTAACCAAACAAGAACTACAGTTCTACCCTCACTTAAAGCACTCTTATTTATTTTATACCTTCAACAATACATTTTAAACACACTAACGGTCTGTGTCTCAGCATGTACATAATTTTTCAAATCTGGCACAAGCCGGCACTGCGTGCAGTCGCTGACGAGCCGTATTATTTGTTCCATTACCGCTTCAGTTATCGACGGGCTTGGTGGACTTGCATCTGGTAGGATTTCATGAGGCTGAATAAGAAATATCGTTTACGTGGTAGAGCCACGCTGCAGCCATATTATGGTATTATGGTATGGTAGCACGAATGGGTCGGCTCAATCGGAGCAGGACCACTCTCTCACAGAATACCAGCGTAAAATTTATCTCTTATTCTTAATCGGAGATAAATGCAGATGTCATTAAGCCACAGCATCCACGTACGATCAGTGGGCTGTTTGTTTGTCACCCATATTCTATAAAAAAAAATCCAGTGGTATGTGGTATGTTCAATGCGTACGACCAACCAAGTAATTTTTCAATTGTTTTAATTACCTGTTTTTTATTGATAAGTATCTAATTTACATAATGACAGATTTTTAAACTTAGAAAAAGCCTAAGCTCAATACTTAAATGACTAACTTTCTCCTTTCTTTACTAACAAAGGCTAAATACTCAAACACTATTCAATGTTGAGATATTGTTAAGTCTTGTAGTGTCACTGTCACCTCATTTAAAGTGAACGAGACAGCACGTGTTTTAACGACATCGTAAAATTGAGTGGCGTTCAATTATTTGGACATTGATATCTTAAACAGACTAAGAAATCTCGCTTCGTGAACTTGTTGATGGAGACAAGTTAATATTTTTGTTATTGCATAAGCTATTGCAAAAATAATATATTCAGCGATGTTATTTTTTCAAACTTTTAATAGATGTTGCTGTGATCAAAATAACTTAATTATAATAATAACTATATGGAAATATTTTATGTAACATCTTATTCTGTTTTCGTTACTTTAACTTATTATTATCTATATAGCCCATGAGAATTCCCTTACGCCTGCAGTTTTTACAAACTACGATTCTAAGCCACCTGCATCCATTGACTCCTTGCTTACAAGTAGTCACTTCCATTTATAGGGGGACTGCCCCAAAATTCCCTAGCCGATTCGTTGTGGGTCCTACGAGCAATGTGATTAGCTCTCTGTCTTTTACTTATTCGATGAATTTAACCTATGTGTACTGTACAGCATATAAAGATAACACTAACCAACACTGCGTATATCCGCGACTAGTTGCGTCTCGCTCACATTACGTGTGAGTGAAGGCAGTCGAGATACGTCTAAATACAACGCCGATCTAGCTCCACCTGTGATCCCACCCGATGCTGTGCCGTGAATCTGGAATATACAAATGGAATTCACTCCACTACTGTACTAGAGATTTGTCTAGTGTTTTTTAAAAATACTAACAATGCTAATTAACATTACTAATATTCTCTCTAACTGCTCCTGGTAAGTTTAAAAATGCTCGTTAGGAATAGTTCAAGACAGTAGTCTAATGGTGGATTCGAACCCACAACCTTTTAAGTTAGCGGTCCGCACACTGTCAATAAGCTGAACGCACATTTGTCAGTACTATACGCGCCTCATTTTAGAATTCGTTGCATGAATTTTAGAATTCATTTTATAAAATGCGTTAGGTATCCAAATATTGAAGGACACATGCTGATGACGTTATATAATGTGCTGTTACTCAGTGTTGTCTAATGTTGCCAACTTTGTGGATTTTCCACTTAAACTGATGGTCTCGACTTTCGTTTCGAAATATAATTTTACTTCATTTCAGGAGCATTTACTTTTACTGTGTAGGCAACAATGAGTCGTCTGAGAACACTTTTTAAAGTTTTTAATTAATTCGTCAAAGTCTTTCCTCTGGTTCAATTGGCCTTCTAAATCTTGAGTTTTCCAAAGAGAGATATGGTTTTAGTGTATGTAACGATGCTTGAAATTTCTTGTATGTTAAATACAAATATCTGAAAAATCGTTTATAATCATTCAATAAGTCTTTGAATAAAGTATAATATTCTCCATACAACTGCCTTTTTAAATTGATATTGTGAATCCAGAATCTTCTTTTTCTTTGAATTTCATATTCTTCTTTCTCTGCCAATAAGCAGGCTACCACTACAATTTTTTTCATAGCGATCCGCGCGGATCCGTTTCACACCAGTGGTTGGGGAAAACTGCAAAAGTTGTTGACAACACAGAAAACATTGCGTACGGCGCGTACGTCCAAATGTGCAGTCATCCGCAAAATGCGGCGCGTACGGTGCGTACAAATGTGCGTTCAACTTTAAGCTACTGTCGCGCGAATTGCTTAAGAGAAACCATCATCCCATTTCGTCGCGTGACAGGCCAGCGAAGAGAAGCAGCCTCAGATGTGCGAAACACCTGGTACTGTGATCATCGACCTGCGAAGTGTGACAATTAAAACAAATCTCTCCACGGGAGAAGCTCACAAACAGCAGTGGACGTCTGCAAGCCGATAAAGAGGAAGATTACACGTACCTGTCAACAGTTGTCAGTATAACAAAACAAAATGGTGTAAGAAATAAAAAATAATAAAACAAAACTTACCTTAGATTTCTTCCTCTCCAATTTGACGCCGTCGTGGAACGGCATCGGTGGCAACTTGGCCACATCTCGGGCAACTATTAAAGATTCGCAGATGGAATGTAATGACTCTGAAACAAAAGGGCAAAAAAATCTTTTAAGTTCTTTATGTATTGGTCTGTTAGTGATCGTGTAACTTCTGTATAACTTGACCAATTAATTTCATATAATTTACACAATATATTTTTGTTGAAACGGTAGGTGTAGATATGCCAGGATCCGATAGGTGACGTTGTATTGTGTTATAGTCCAAAATTACTCGTATTCAAAACATAATATATGTATTGGTTTTATTTAAAAAAATCACAATATCTGGACCCTATATGAGGCGCTTTGGTCGAGTTATTAATAAATTTTATATTTACACTATAAAAAATGTTCGGTGTAAATATATAAATATCGAGTATTTGAGAAAAAACGTTTGTGACAGATAAACAGCCGACTTTGAGAGACAAGGTGATTTTGAAGTTTAGTATGAAATACTAATAATGTTGGTAATGCCGTAAAGCGAAGGTTAAGTGAGCAAAGCTGCGATATTAATACAGTTCATAAATTAAGGTCAATACTATTAATAATATATTCCGATATCGAATTATATCCGCTTTTTCACAATGATTTAATGGTTCACAGACGACATTCGAGCAGGAATGGAGAATCGGCAAGTTACTATTCTTACTCTTCTTGATTTTAGCAATGCTTTCAACACAGTCGATTTCGACATACTTCTAGCTGTGCTCCGTTCTATTAACGTATCTCCAGCAGCAACCGACTGGTTTCGTAGTTACTTGTTTGGACGCCGTCAATGCATCCGTAATGACACTTATTCCTCGTGGTGTTCTCTAGATGCAGGCGTACCGCAGGGTGGCGTGTTGTCTTCTCTCCTTTTCTCAATTTTCATACGCTCTATTACTTCAGGAATTTCTTCGCTCTACCATCTTTATGCAGACGATCTCCAAATATATTCTCAAACAAGTATTGAAAATCTTCCACCCGCCGTGCTATCCATAAATCGTGATCTCTCAATTATTTCTGAATTTTGCACATCTTATGGAATCAAGTAAAACACAGGTAATAGGGATAGGTAGCAGCAAACTACTACAAAAAATTACAGGGCATACGCTGCCCTTTATTTGTTTTGAGAATCTTATTATTCCTTATAGTAAGGTTGTAAAAAATCTAGGGGTTCTAAATGACAGTACAATGTCTTAGGCACCTCAAATTGAACAGATAAGCAAGAAAATGTTTGCAGCTTGTGGAAGTCTTAAGAGACTCCGAAATTTCCTGCCCATTTCTACCAAAATTGCGTTAGCACATTCCATTTTGTTACCTATTTTAGACTATGCTGACATATGTTACACTGATATCACCATGGAGCAATTAAACAAGCTTGAGCGTCTTCAGAATATATCCATTCGATTCATATTTGGTTTACGCAAATATGATCATGTATCCCAATTTCGAAATCAACTCAAGTGGCTCCCTATTCGCCTTCGCCGGAATGTTCATATACTCTCTTTACTTTTTTGTGTACTGTTTGATCCGAAATCTCCAAGGTTCCTTAAGGAACAATTTCACTATCGACATGAAATTCATAACCGCAATTTGCGTTCAGTGTATAGCTTGGCTTTAAATACTCCTTACAACGTAACTTCATTTTATAATAAATCATTTGCTTCACTAGCAAAGCGACTTTGGAATTCATTACCACTTAACATTCAGAAAGCGCAATCTTTACAGTCTTTTAAAAAACTACTTAAGGAGTATTATTTGAAGTTCCCGTCATAATAATAAATTATATGTATTTTCTCTTCTCATATATACTTGATTTTTTTTGTAAAATTTTCTCTGCAGTATATGTTTGAATATATTAAATTAAAATTATTGTACATATATATGTATATATGTATGTATATATATTATAAGTATGTATATATATATATATATTTATAATCATTAAATATTGTATATATTATTAATATATTTTTATAAATATTATTCTTAATAATTTTTTTTCATGTTTATTTCATATTGCATGTTGCACCTATCCGTCAAAAAGTCCTTTTGTGTTCGGTTTGTCAGGCAGAAATCGCTTAAAGCGATATGACAGCCGTTTGTAGTCATAAGTTTTCCGTTATTGTAATAACTATGTTCAAATGCAATAAAGAGTTATCTATCTAAAGAAGCCCCTAAGTCCATTTGTCACGGACCGCCTCACAATACTATGGAGTGTACAAGTAAGGAGTACCAACTCCCTTAGTAGAATAGTTGAAAAAGTGGTCATCGGTAAGCAGTAAATAACAGTGCAAAAACTCTCCACAACAGCGCTGGAGTAGCTACTGGGATGAAATGAACTTAGCAGTTGTCGACGGTTTGAAGTGTGCTGCTAAACTGCTCAGTAGCTCTAAAATCTAAAATAATTTTATTTAGTAAATATAACCTCAACGACTACACAGCCCGAATAGACGCCTAATGTATGTATTTCTGCATCCAAACCTGTCTGTCAAAAGTCTGAGGTAAGCGGTACGAAATGCAAGCTGATTGGTTAAAATCAAGGTTGCGACGCTTGCTAATAAGCAAATAGTGATGGGAACTTTAACTAATAAATTTTGTACCAAGTCTACTTAATCTACTATAAATTAGTACAAATTAGTACAAAATTAAAAAAAAAACAAAAGAAGTTTTATTTAAGTAGGTATCGTATTTCGTAAAATACCTATAATTTTTTGTTTTAAAAAATATTTTTATCAAAACAAGCTTTCTTTACAATATTGAAATAATAATAAAATACTATTTAAAATAAAATAGCAACAGTTATATAATACTGTCAATTTCACTTCCGTTCCCTACTTGTCTTGACATGGAGTCTTAGCAGTAAAGAGAGCGGAGTGCCGTCTATTAAAAATTATATCAATTTTAGTATGAATTATTTTTAAGAAGTTTTGAATAATTTGATTTAATTATTAAATCAATTACTTCAAATATGGATTAACGTACATTCACTAAAAAAATTCAGCTTACACCTGTCGCTTATAGTATAAGTCTGTAAAGCATTCACGATAACATGTACAGTACGCGCGCGAGTTCATGTCCATCGGGGACAGAGGCGGCGCGCGGGGGCAGCTCGCCCCGCTTTCAACCACCTCGCCGCATTTGTCTGCAGTCGAGTGTTGTCCTTGACGGTTGTGACGCGCGCTTATCGATACAGAAAATTAGTCGAGATTGTGTTATTTTATCGTGAATAAACCATGACTACTTCGCTTCCAGCAAGTTCGGGTAGGAAAAAACCTTTTATAATACATAAGCAAGCACGTGAAATGGCGAGAAATGTCCTACAGATGTGTGTTGAAGAGAAAAAAGAGAATAAATTCGCTTTTCCCGTTAACAATGCTTTAGATCGAGCGGCCCGTTACACTGGACTTACTAAAAGAACATTGTCTAGAATTCAAACAGAAGCAAAAAATGGACCTCTTCATTCGCCTTCTAAAAAAAGGGAAATCGTGTAATAAAATGGGGAATTTAAATGTAGATGATTTCGATAGAAGTGTAATACACAGATGTATAGAAGAATTTTATTTGACAAAAAATATCGTTCCCACTTGTCCTAAACTTCTGGCGGCAATCCGGGAAAAAATAAATTTTCCCTGGGGGACTACAAGTTTACGAAAACTTCTAAAGAAAATGGGCTATAAATGGCAAAAATGTCACAACAAGCGAAGGATTTTGGTAGAAAGACCAGCTGTTGTATTTGCGCGGTCAAATTATTTGCAAAAAATTCGTCAATACAGAGAAAACAATCGCGATATTTTCTTTTTAGACGAAACTTGGATCGACAATAACCTCACATTTAAAAAGTGTTGGAGAAACGATTATATAGACGCGATACTGACTGACACCAGCTCAACGAACAGGCTGATTCTCGTTCACGCCGGATCCAGACGTGGTTTTTTGGATAGCGCAAAATTGCTTTTCAAAGCTGGTACTGCTACAGGCGATTACCACGGGCAAATGAACAGTACGAACTTTGAGAAATGGGCGACTGACATGTTCATTCCCAATTTGCCACCATCCAGCGTTGTCGTTATGGACAACGCACCATATCACAGTGTTCAGGAAAATAAAGTTCCTACAAAATCAAGCACTAAAACGGTTATGTTAGAATGGCTTATTAGAAACAATGTAGAGGCTTCACTAAGCATGAGAAAAGGCGAGCTTTTTGATTTGATAAAATTGCATGCGCCCCAAGAGAAAAGTTTTAAAATAGACCAGCTCATCCGTAGTCACGGACATGAGGTTTTAAGATTGCCACCGTACATGTGCGACTTAAACCCAATTGAGTTAGCATGGGCAAAAGTCAAGAGAGTTGTGAGGGAGTACAACGTTAACTCAGATTTATCCCTAACAAGATTGAAAGAAGTAACGGAGATGGCTATAAACCAGGTGACAGAAAAAGATTGGTGTGGATTCGATGATCACGTTATAATTTTGGAAGAGCATTACTGGCAAAAAGACGGACTAATGGAAAATACGATCGACAAATTCGTAATTGAAGTCAGCGACGGCGAAGATACTGATTCCGACTCTGCTCTGTCGGTTGTTTTTGCATCTGATAGTGATTAAATTGCATTTTAAAAAATATTTTTCTCTATTAGCAATAAACAAGTAAGTACTTATCACATTTATTTTATTTCATAATTTGCAAAATCACCTTAAGTTACAATAAACCAAATTGACAGCTGTTGACTAAATCGGTAGTAATTATCGACATTACCATAATTGATTAGGTCACAGCACTACCGCATTCCTCAGGATGGACATGAACTCGCGCGCCTACTGTATAATTTACTTGTACCAATATTGTAGTTTAACTGGTACAGCACTAGTTACACGTGCCGGTAATTAAAGAAAAGTATAGCAACAAAATTCTTTTCAAACTTCATTGAAAAGAAAGGGATGCATAGTCCGAAAATATCCGAAGATGTCCGAATAAATTAACGCGAGTTGCTTGTGACAAATCAGGTTGAGCTCTGATTTAATTTTAATTAATGAATTTGGAAATTAAAATTCACTTATCTATGAAAAGTGATGCCATTTTTTAATTACACATTTGGCTACTATTTCCGCACTATTTTATTGTACTACTATTTTATTTTGTCGAAAATTCACGAGTCACATGCAAGATGTTCACGGGTCAGGGAAGTGGTCGCTACTAAAGTAGATCGCGCGATCGTTTTCTTATATAAGACCTATTTGTCTGATGTGTTGACAGAAAGTGGTCGCCTTTCATGAGGAGTCTATTCGGGCTGTGTAGTCGTTGTATAACCTCGAAAAAGTCGTTATTCCACTAATATTTTTCGGTGCGTTCTTTAAAGTATACCCCGTAGCTATAGTGCCGCCACCCTTGTTTAAGGTTGCCCTAGTCGAAGGCACGAACAAGTGGTGGGCGGGGTAAAAGTGCATGTTATCTCAGCCGACATCACGTGCGAAAGGGATAGACGCTGTGATGAGCAGTAAGAAGCTAGTGCGCACACACATACGCACTCGAGTGACGCAATGCGCGACGGCATCATCGCGTACCTAGTACCTATGCGATTCATTTTAGAATAATAACATAAACTCAAACGGCAATTTGAGCTTCCGTATCGCAGTGGCTTAGCAATGAGGCTGCGCTGGGCACCGCGGGTTCGAATCCCGCACGGAACAAATATTTGTATGGCCTACAAATAGTTGGTCTGGATGTTTGTCCTTGTGCAATTTATGTTTGTAAACTGCCTCCACGATATTCTCTTGGAGAAATCGGGGGCACTCTTCAATAAATGACAGCAAATCAACCGCGATTGCTGCTATCGCCTATCTATGCATTCTTTACACAATCACACAATATAATATCACGCCTGTACCCACTAAAGGGACATAACTCTCAACTAAAAACGGTAATTAAAACTACTTTTCTCTCGGTCGGTCGGTCTCTCGGTCGGTTCTACTCGGTCACTGTGAGTGAAGCCGGCCACAGTCGAGCGTGTGCCTGCTGTACTACCATATGTCAGAGGTGTCACAGACAAGATTGGCTACATCTTGAAGCGAGCTTCTATTAGAACATTCTACAAGCCGCCGAAGAAGATTAGTCAGTACCTACCATCCGTCAAGTGTCATATTCCTCTACAAGATGCAGGAGTGTACAAGCTTGATTGTGAATGTGGTCTCTCTTATATAGGACAAACCAAAAGATCAATTAGGACCCGCGTAAAAGAACATATAGCTGATGTGAAGCATCAACGTTCCGGGAAGTCTGCAGTTTGTGATCATATCCTAGACGGCCCCAACCATTACATCAGATTTGATAGACCACAAATCCTCGCGAAAGAACACCGATTCCTACCAAGGATGATACGTGAGGCTATTGAAATTAAAAAACATCCTAATTTCAATAGAGAAGGAGGCTGGGTACTACCACCTGCTTGGGATCCTATAATCAATAAAATTAAAACTAAACCCAAGCATACCACTGCAAGACCTCAGGACATAGTCAGTTCATTTTGCATAGATCGGACCATAAACAATAATCAAAAAAGCTGAAGGTACTCCGGGTTTAACAATGACATCGGGACGTCAGTCATCTCAGTCCCCCGTGACCATGGGTGCTGGAAAGCGCCCGAAACGTCGGGAATTAAAAAATAAAAAGTAAAAAATAAACGCGATAAAATCCGTAAAAGTAGTTTTAATCATGTGCAATGTTCGCGTAAATATAAGAAATCATTATAAAAACGGTAACATAAAAAACTTTTTTTTTAATCAACAATAGGCATTGTGTCACTGCAGGGACAAGCACAAACGTCTATCAAAATAGTAACGTATATAAACGGAATACTAACAGCACAGACTTCCTTACAGAAGTCCAAAGAACACGTCTAGGCAAGGTAAGTAATTAGAAGAAAAATACAATTTAGAGATCGATTGTAAATCAAATTCACAGTACAGACACAATTAGCGAAATATGAATAAAATTTTGATTTATTTTATGATAGATAACGCTAGTTGAAAACTAAACACTGTATGGGAATGGCATCACTGAACGAGTCAGGTGGTCAGTCCAAACAAATAAAAGGCGCGATTGTAGAAAGGGATTAGTTACGAAACGTTTGCAGGCTAGGGGGCTTGGCCTGTTTATGCTATTCATCACGAAGGCTATAAAATATGTACAACTTAGAAACTAAATCCTATGTGTACTTATCTGTATTCATAACCCAATATCTAAGGTAGGTTGACGCGCTCCTTAGTTTTTATATAGTTCGTATTATTCTGTAATAAATTAAATCTAATCCAAAATATACTATAATACCATAACAAAGCTACTACTATTTTATTTAGTAGTAGCTTATATAGTAGTATAGTAAATTATATATATATACATATATATAAAATATGAGTATGTCTGAGGTAAGGTTAAATATAAACAAATATTTTGCCAAGTGCGAATCGGACTTCCGAGCTTCCGAGATTACAAGATTTAAATATCTATACATATTACTATCGATCAAAAAAAGCCAAAAATACACGTTTCTTTTTCTAGTAGAAAATCCTTTAATTTCAAATTTATTTTTACCACTTGCTGTTATAGCGGCAACAGAAATACACGTTCTTTGAAAATTACAACCATCTACCTACTACGGATCATGAGATACAGCCCGCTGACAGACAGACACACGGACAGCGGAGGCTCCGTAATAGGGCCCTGCTGGTTACCCTTCGGGTACGGAATCCTAAAAAGTACTTAGTTGTCCACACACATCTGTATGATTCTTTCTTCAAAGGACCATATTAGCCTGGTTCTCGTATGACATGACCAATGTAATACCTAGACAGACCTCTCCGAGTGTGTTTCGGCAGATCGGGTGCTTCTTCTCAGTTTCATGTTTTTATTGTGTTAAAGTGTTTTTAAAAAAAAAACAACTTACAAAACACATTTTATTTATCATTGACTGCCCTTATTAGATTATTATGTACTTACATAAATTACATTAGGTATATTAGGATATGAGATTCCTATACGTAAGCACGATTATCGAAAATCTAAAAATTACCTATTCTAAATAAATTAATAGATAATTTTAAGATTTTCGATAATCGTGCTTATCTACGAGATGTTTTCGTTAGTTAGCAAATTAAAGTAGTTAAGTACCTACCTAATGTATCGAAAGTTCATTATTACAACTTATGGGCACATTTTAGCAGCTATATTCATCCCGGCTTCAGCAATGGACACGAACAAAAGGAAGCAATTTTTCTAAATAAAGACGTAGATATGTAGGTATTACAACCATAAATAGATAGCAGCGGCTAACCTAGTGAGTATGTGTGAGTGCGCGCTGCACCCCCCCCCCCTCCGTCCGTCCCAATGATCGGGGAAACAATTTGTAGCGAAAGGCAAGATGATTTATAACAAAAACGGGCGCGCGAAATTTTATAAACAGACCTTTGGTAGTCTGGATGTCACGAAAAATCTATTGAATGTATCTGTTTAAAATAAAATTATTTCCATTTTTGAACAACTAATCTATCCCTGTATGGTAACTGTTTTGCAATTTTCGTTCTTCTTACGGTATTCATTTCCGCCCAAAGATGTGTTAAAAATAGTGTTGAAATTCGGAATTTTCGACGCTTATAACTCTTAAAACATACTCTTTTTTTACTTTTTTGTTTCCATACAGGGCTACATAATGATGAGACAAATTGAAATCATTTTTTATTTTGAACGTACACCATCAAACAGTGGAGTAATCGCCAGACTACGTTTGTATGGAAGAATAAGCGACTAGTGTACCCTTAACGGTTTTCTACGGACACTTTTTAATACACAGTCTTTACTCCTTACTTCTGCACTCCATACACAATACTTATAACAAATCCTCCCAAGTACCCGTAAGAGGCGACTATATTATATACCAGAAAGACCTTATGAATTCAGATGGATGTCGGTATAACCAACTTATTCCGGCATAAAATACCCAGACCTTTGATTGGGAACAACGTCAAAGGTGCTGGTCAATGGACCTGCAAAGAGTGACACATAAGGCAAATATTCCATACAAAAAGAGAAGCACATGTCAAGCAATATAATTGTATGAGTGGATGAAGAATAAGTAGATTCCAGAAGCACAGATTCAGCAAGTGACACTTTAGAATAGCAAGCAAATTAAAGCTTAATGCTGATTGCTATGTTTAGAATGGCGAGTGTAGAGCACCGGAGACCCTTTTTACTGGAATCGAGGCATTCCATCTTACTCCTCAGGGGTGACAACGCAACTGCATTTTGATTCTTGATTGAAGATAACTGTAAATGTCTATGGACCACGACATCCACTTACCACCAGCTGGACTGTGTGCTTGTCCGTCACATATATTCTATAAAAGAAAGCTCACCGATCATTTCGTCGCGCGTATTTATAACGACCGCCATGTTGTTGAAGAATCGCAGCGAAGTGGACCGGAACATGTGGAAGTAGCCCGGCTCGCCGTTGTAGTTGTAGTTTATACGGATGCAGAAAATCGGCTCGCTGTTATTTTTACGTCCAACCCCAAAGATCTGCAACATATTTACTTTTTGTAAACTGCCTCGTTGGTCTAGCGGTTGCAGTAGTGCGACTGCTGATCATGAGGTCCTGGGTTCGAATTCCCAGTCGGGCCAAAAAATTAATTATTGAGTTTTTCCGTCAAGAAATTCTCAGTAGTTACCCGGAGTCAGGAAGTTGGCGGTGTCTCAACCCCGTGCCTCGGAAAGCACGTAAAGCCGTTGGTCCTGCGCCTGATCTCTCTCCGGTCGTGTCGGTTTACCGTCCTATCGGATTATGAGGGTGAGGGAATAGAGAGTGCACCTGTGCTTGCGCATGCACTTGGGCACTATAATCCTGTCCTGCGCCGATGGCTAGTCTGCGTTGAGGCAGACCGCCGTAGCCGAAATTCGGTCTAGAGGACATTATTATTATTATTAATTTTTGTAACTGTATGTACATTAATATATATTGTCTGTAATCTATTTGTGTAACTTATGTTGGTAACCTTGAATTTTGCTTTAACATGTTGGCATCCGTGCAGTTAATTAATTTCTCAGTTCACGTTCGTCATAGCGAGAATTGTAATGATTTTAGGATATTTTATCGCAGGAGCTTTTTCGCACATTGAGTAACTTTAAATAATTGTGTTGTCCATATTATGGTTTATATTAGTTGTAAATGCTAAATAAAAGTTAGGCCACTTGTTGAAAAAGTTTAATTAGTTTTATTTATGGTTATAATCTTAGAGGACCATAAACACTTATTAATAAAAATAAAATAAGATACGATGTTAAGAGGATACCTTGAAAATGAATCGAAGTTTTGGGGGCGTGGCTTATTCCTTTGTCGGTGAAGCTAACGGACGACTGCGGGAGTGTCAAAATGAAAGTGATGCAATGACTTCATAGTACGCAAATTATGAGATAGCCATACCGAGCAAGCGCTCGGAAAAAAAAACTAAGTACATTTTTTCACATTTTTATTTATTTTAACAAAACTTCGTTATGGATTAAAAAAACTGGTTGATGAGAACTTAAGATATGATTATTTGCTATGCCTTAAAATAATTCCATGAACTTCTTCGTAAGAATATTGTGGTGTCATCGAGAAATGTAACTATAGTCAACCAAATCTAAGAAATACGTTTTGACGTTTCACATTAATCATTCCGCAATAACTTTGCACAAGCGTACCCACACGATTTAAAATAACCTTCTACGTAAATCCGAAAAATTATGAAGTTATCTATATTTCATTACAACGTGTATAGTTTTTTATCACTAATTTAAATTTGAATTTTTCAAACAAAGCAAAATATTAAAAAATAACCAGTATTAAATTTTTTACAATGACGTCGTTTCAATGATATGTCGCTATGTATATTACCATAGTGTTTGGATAATTAAAATTCATTGTTATGCGAATAATATGCAAAATATTTAAATAATCGGTAAAAATATTCAAATAATCGAATAATTAATTTTTTAATGTATTATTTGTTTAATTTAATTTTTATTTTCAAAATTCCTTAAATTACATGAATCTTGAATAAAACAATTTTATTTTTTACTTTGCAAAGTAAATTTGTGTAGGCAAAAAACTCATAGGCAAGGCCGTGCTAAGATAACCTCTACATAATTTCAATATCCCGCCATTTCGGTACCAGTTACTCGACTCCACAGAGTCAGTAATTCATTCTTGGGGCGATGTATACGCTTTTACAACAAAATCCCAGAAAATATACAAAATTTGACGTAAGTACACAAAGTTCAAAAATTTTATAAAAATAAGTTTGTATAAAAAGGGTTATTTTAATATTAAGGAATTTATGGAAGATAATAACCCCTGGGAAAGGTGATCGCTACCAAGCTATTTATAATTTGTTTTGTGTTGTAAATTGTAACACGCATGATTGTAAGCTCTTATTTTTCTTTAAACTAGTTCCGTTCGGTTTCTTGCTGGTTCTTCCGAGGACAGAGGTTTTTTTTGCGAACCAGTGGTAAATGAAGTATGTGACTTTCAATAAGAAATATTCATAATCTATATTGAATAAAAAAGTTACTGTTTCTGTTTCGAGAAATTACTGTGCGTAATTTTGTGATTTTGTGTATTTGTTCTTATTTTGTGACTCCGCCTTAACTTTTTAGACTGTTTCTTCTATATTCGTTGAAGCATGTACCCACGTCACAAAAGATGATTGGGAAAAGTGGTAGAAAAAAATAAAACAAATCATTATGGATAGCTTTGAAAGAGACATTAATTTGTACTGAAAGTGATTGAATAAGTTTATTTTTAATCTAGTTTCAAAAATTTTTATAATTGTGCTTCTTGAAATAAGCAGTAACAACAAATACAAAGAAACTGATAAATCTTGTGTTTTAAATTATCCCTTTTTAATTTATTTTGGTATTTTTCAAACCAAACTGCAAATGATTATCAACTCTAAATAATCTATATCGATTTTTTCAAGAATCGAATATTGTACGTTCCAATTTTTTGGTTGGCGTGCTTGGTGCAATAAGTCTGACAGCTGTCAAAACGTATTTCTTAGATTTGGTTGACTATAATTAGAGCCTACTTTGCAATTTTTTTATATCGAGAAAATTACATGATGTGTTTTCTTTTTATGCAATCCAAGGTCATATAGTCAAAAAACAAAACAAAATGTGGTCGCATATGACCTTGCAAGAAACACATCTTGTAATATCTATAAAACTTAAAAATATATGTTAAATAGAAAAACCACCAAATTTTCGAGGTATCACCTTAAGGTTCATTTCTGTTTTGTCTTAACCATACACGCTTTATTAAGGAAAAGAGAGCCCGTATAATTGCAAGTACCAACACATCTGTAGTCTTCTTTATTAGAAGTCAGTAATTTTCAATGTTGGTTTATAAAAAAATGTACTTGAAGCAGATCTTACAATTATACGCGTCATAAAGCAAAAAAGAACTCTATGCTACTGACCGTAGAGTTGTTATCCAGCGTGCCCAACTCGACGGAAGTGACGTCACGCAGCGGTATACGTTGTACGGACAGCAAACGATCGGATGTTTCATCGTAATCGGTTACGTAGTACGCATCGCTTGTTAGCACCATCACGCTGTCCATCTCTGTCTCTTGTGGATCGCCAGTGCTGGGTGTGAGAGGGACAGTGATATTGATGAGTTAAGTTTTAACTCAAAATGGATATTTTGCTGGATATAAAAAAGATGAAATTGTTGGAAGATTTGCCCATATGAAACTGGGCAGGTGGTGAACGCATAACAGATACCTTCGCAGTGGTAATGCTGATTTGTGTTCAGGGTTTTGGAACATATATACCGTTATAAGATTGCTACGTTCGTTACTTTCGGCAAAGAGCTCCGAGTGTAGATGGGGTAGAAAATTTTGAGGAAAGGTTGCTGTATTCCCCAGAAACTTATAGTTTACAATGCTGTTGCAACACTATAAAGAGTAAAATAAAAACCTGTATAATATGTCATACAACTGATTCACTGCACATATTTGAAACAGGAAATTGTCTCTTTTCTCGTATCTGTCTATTCTCGAAATCGAATATCGAAACTGTCATGTTCACAAAACTTTTTTTTAAGTTACTACTTACATTGTTTGCCTAAAAACAGACCATGCCGTAAGTCAGCACTTTTTTCGAAAGTAAGGGTGACAAACAAGTGAAAATGTAAAAATTACAGTAAGCCTAAATTTAATAAAAGATCTTTTACTTTGGCTTATTGTCATAGGCTAAAATTTCATCATAATCTGCGCCAAGTTTAAGAAAATTACATTGATTTCGTGTGCATATTTATTGAAATTGGCAAAACTTACTGTGGATCGGCGTCGATGAGTCCCCACGATCCTAGAACTGGTTCCGTGTCTACGAGTAGTTTCTTGCAGTCATCAATCAGAGACTTTACGTGCTCAGCCATCGCGGCGGTATCCGGTTCCGATTGGTCCTGCGAGCCGGAACAAAAACATTAACCGTGTCCTGCTGTCATAGTGTCATTACTCATCATCATTCATTCTTTGCAGACTTTTAAAAGTCCAATGCCGAACATAGGTCTCTTCATAGAGTGGACATTTACCACAGTTGCTACGCTTCGTAGGCAAGTTGCCAACCGTTTTACGTAGTAGAGCCATGATGCAACTATATTATAGTTGTAGCACGAATGGATCGGATCGACCGGGGCAGGACCATGCTCTCACACAATACCAACATAATTTTTTTTTCATAGATAAGCTGTACTTCTTATGGTAAGTGTAGAGAACTGGAGACCCCTTTTACTGGAAACGAGGTAATAACTTATTTACATTTTGATACTTAGTCAATGATAAATGTAGATGTCTATGGGCCACAGCATTCACTTACTATCAGGTGGACTGCGTCCTCGTTGTCACCCTTATTCTATAAAAAAACCGCAGATTTTTTAAAGAGTTAAATATAAGAATGATTTGTTCTGTTGTTCGTCTGTTGCATTTTCCTCTGTCGTCTATTATAAAATTCATGAAATGATATGAAGTAATTGACACTCAGCCACCTTTACACAACCAAGTAATAGAAAATATTCCAACAAGGTTAAGATTTGGGGTTGATAACTTATGTCAATGATAATATATATATATATATATATATATATATATATATATATATATATAAATTATCAACGCTGATGATGACAATCTGAGAAGCGATTACAGCAACTAATATGGCTCTGATTGAGAAAGACTATCTTTTCTAATAGTTAAACATTTTTGACTCCTAAAATACTCAACAACGTTTTTTCTAGTTATATTTATATTACAATTTAGTTGGATATAAAACTTACAAAATTACAAACTTATTATCTAAGAACGTAATAAATTTTGCTTTAAATTAATAAGGGCTTATAATTAGTCACTCACCAGATGTCATTAGTTATTTTAACAAAATATATTGGGGAGGAGGCAAACGAGCACACGGTTCACCCGGTGGACTGAGGTGAAGTTATTTTTAATTAGAAAAGTTGCGTTTCAAATAAGTTTTTCGGTTTCTAATGTAACCTCACTGATTTCACTTTAATTTTTAAATTATTTTACTTTTATGAATATCTGCAGTTTAGTTTATATATTTTAATCTAATTATTACAAAATATAACGCATATTACAGAAAGTTACATCAACCTTTATATTTTCCTAAAAAATTCATTTCCCCTGTAAAATCCGTCAAACCAGCAACACCTCCAGTGACGCCGTCCTGGTGACCGCAAAAGATGTGGATCCTCATTGAAGTACGTTGTAGATTTCTATATCTATGATTCTAAGAACTACTATGGAACTTGGCACCTGTATGATCTCAACTATTTTATCAACGAAGCCGACAACCCCGATAGTATCATTTTATTTAACAAGTACACTTACAATACACATATATCAATCACGAAAACATACATATTTACATACACATAACATTCACAGATTTAGTCGTGCAATTTGGGGTTAATTTAGAACACAAATATCATCCAATCAATACAATGCAAATTAAAACTATTCAAATAAATTATGTACTTAAATAAGAAAAATCTAAAGATAAAAAAAACAGATTTCATTATTAAAAGGGAATATAGTAGATATTATACTCTCTTCGGGAGTATGTATATTTTTAATTTAAGTATAAGATGTATTATATGGAAGACGTAATTTATATCAGGAACTCAACGATAAATGATTTGTAAGTTTAATTTCGAATGCGACATAAGAGTCGTCTTGTAACGAAATTGGGATAGTTATTTACGTAAGCCACAAAATCGCATGCACGCACGTTAAACATGAGCACCTTGACGGAAGTGCAGCGGCTGCAGTCCGGCACGATGAGCTGCTCCGGTATAACGCGAGACTCGCCGGTCATCACGTCGATAGCAACTTGTCGCAACGCGTCTTTAAACGTCGATAGATAATACCTGGAACAGTAAGTGGTTGCAGTAAACAGAAACATATTGGATAAAGGTAATTAAAGATGCTTTTTCTCACGAAGGCGAGCGAGCCTTACTGCAGGTTGCAGCATAGTGGTTATTTTTTTTTGTTAGCATCCCCCATAAATTGCCTCTATATATATATATATATATATATATATATTACTAGCAACCAAAATGAAGAATAAGAGCCGTGGTAGCTCAGATGGTTAGCGCTTCGCTGTAAATATCACAGTACGCGAGCAAACCGGACTCGATCCTCACCGGCAGCAATGAAATTGTTAATTGTATGCGGTGCAGTAAAACATCGTAAGGTAACATGTGTGTCTGAGAAATAAGAAACAACAATATTTCAAAAACATGTGAAGTTCGCCAACACGCCTTGGGTTAGCGCGGCGCGGCGGACATTCCATGCTCTAAAACCCCATCAGAAATGAGAAAACGTAATACGTATATTTATATGATACCTAAATTTATTGTTTTTAATTTTTGGTAAATGTGAGTGCCATAGGCTTCTACTCCGTTCACATGTTACAGCCTATTTTTTCCAGACGGTAAAAAGGTATATTTATGTTGTTATCATGAAGACGTTGCTGCCCACCTCCCGGTTCAGTTGCCCTCTGTCTATTAAACAACCTTAAGGGGAAATATAATCTCAAATGGCTTAGCAAGATCCTACGTTATGCCGAAAGTATTGCAGCATTAATTTTGAAATAAATATATGGTAAAGTTAAGGATTAATGTTAAGGATTATGTTAGACGAAAACAAGATTTCGTAAAATTTTCTCGATAGAAAAAAAATCCAAAGTTACCTCCAAAATAAACAATAAACCGCTGTTATTCATAAAATACTTTAAGATGAAACTTTGCATAGTAACTGAACTAACTATAAAGCAGTGCTTATGTTATTTACTTTTTTTAAAATACCAATATTTTCACTGTAATAAGAAATTACCTAAACTATCGGCGCGTAAGCTTGATTCCTGTCGCCCCGTTAGTATCGCTCCGGCTTTTGAAGGGAGAAGTTGTGTCGCTTACGATCAGAATACACATTACGCAACAGGACGACGTAAAATTAAAATGGGAAATAACCGTCATAAAAATAAGAAGCGACTGGCTTGGCGTTAAGAAACAGGCATAAATATGATAAACCTAATGAAATAAGTGTCTAACGACCTACTTTACATTACCTCTACTTACAGTGTTAGTGATTACAAACATGTCGGTACATAGCATACAACGCGCGGGCAAGTGGTAACGAAATTAGAATTTGAGCTGACTTACTATAACCCCTTAACATACAAAAATAAAAGTGAACTTTATGTTGTGCATTTAGGGATTATAATCGTAAAGTAAAGTTATAGCCAATATACGTCCCACTGCTGGGCATAGGCCTCCGCTCATTTCTGAGAGGGTTTTAGGGCAAGGAATTGTCCGCCGCGTTGCCCCAATGCGTGTTGGCGAACTTCACATGTCTTCGAATATTTTCTTATTTCTCAGACATGCAAGTTTCCTCACGATGTTTTCCTTCACCGCCGAGCACGTGGTAAATCAGCACTTAAAATTGCAATTAACAACTTCATTGGTGCCGGCGGGGATCGAACGCGGTTTTTACCGGAAATTTACAGCGAGCGCTAACCATCTGAGACACCACGGCTCCTTATAATCGTAACGTTAGATAATTGTAAGCAACGTGAAGTTATTATCCGCGTAGCGCCCTTTCTCTCTCACTCCTACTGCCAACGCTGTTGCATACTTGCCTGTTTGCACTACAGTAAAACAAAATAGAAGACGTACCCTTTGAACAGTCAAGATTTCAGAATTCAGCAAATATAAAAAAAAATTGAAATATTTTCGGTCAATATAAACCGAATTTGCTATTCCAAACGCAATGCTTAGCAGACTCTAGTTCATTCCTCAATGGATGTCCGAAATACGACGACAACTAATTTTCGCTAATCAGTTCCGATGTTTTCTATAACCATATCGTAATCATATCACCGTCACATATTGACTAGTTCGTTTAAGGTCCATAGTCCGAGTATGAAATCTTTAGCGCATTGTATCATGATTACATGATCGTACGTATTTGTCATCCGGGGTATTTATTATAATTATACGCGGTAGAGCCACGCTGCAGCTATATTATGGTTGCAGCACGAATGGGTCGGCTCGACCGGGGAAGGACCACGCTCTCACAGCGTAGCGAATACCAGCGTAAATTTTTTAATTGAGTATAGATGTAGATGTCCATGGGCCACAGCATCCATTTACCATCGGGTAGGATGCGTAACTCGTTATTTTATATATATAAAAAAAGGATTCCTAAATAATTTAAATATGGTAGTAAAATTAAAGAGCTTACCTATTTGCAGATGCAACACCATCTTTCATCAGTCCCGTGAACTTCCTTTCTCCAGTTCGCGTGTAATCACCCTGCGTTCAAAAACTACGTCAGAATAGAACAAAGTATGTGTTTTAACTTTTTCCGAGATAATTAAAATCAATCAAAGTACGGTACATGATCGCTTGTGAAAATTGGAGAATGTATTGATTTGGTTGTTTTTTTTAAGGGTAGGTGCAGTGGCGAAGCTTCTATAAAAGCCGAAAAGCCGGGCTTGCCTTATTAAAACTGAATCAATCAATAATATCATATATTATAAATGTAGTTAAAAAAAACAATAAAATGTTTCAAGCTATTTAAAATTTCCCGCGCACTCCACTGTACAACACATGTCGACCGATGACCTCGTATTGCCTTAGCGATACTACTGCTGTCATAAAAAATGAGTTTTAATAGAGCGATTAGTTGTCTCCCTCGCTCGCGTGGGCTTTTTACGGGGCTTTCGAGAAGACGATCGCTCTCTTTCTAACCTATGGCAAAATATTCTATAATGAAATATAACTACGATTGTATATATAGCAATTAGTATGGAGATTTAAAGCCAGGCTTTTGGGAATAAATTTGTTAAAAGCGGAGGCGCGCGGGCAATACGTTTGCAAGTTCATTTCACGTTTCAATGTTTATTTACTCTGTGTGGTTATCTTAAGCGATTTAATACTAAGAGTTCAAAATTTATGCTTTTTTAAAAATTTTTAATGAAAATGGAGGATAATAGTGTTCCATGTGATGAAATGAAGTGTGTTAAGTAAAGATTTCCTCTCCGATTAGCACTTAATCGGAGAGGAAATCTTTAAAATTTGTTGAGATAATACACAAGGTTAAGAGTGTATTTCAGACTTACCTATCAATTATCGCAATTAAAAAACAGTTATTGGTACAATTAAAACGTTCACCAACATTTTACATGGACGTAATTAAATCTTTCCATAAGAAAGCGAGACGATTCCACTTATCTTATCTCTTATCCATTAGAATGTAAACAATTTTTTTAATTTTGTACATAGTTTGTTTGTACTTTGTTCGTGTTTTAATTTTGTTCATGTATTGTATTGGATGTAAATATTTTTTTTTCGCTTAAACAAACCCAAACGGCTTTCTTCAAAACCACCGAAGCTATGCAATTGCTGATATGTAATACAATCTATCTAGCAGTGGTATGCCTTCTGTGTGCTTTGTTAAACACGTCCTTGACAGCACTGAATATGAAACTGAAGCGTGGAGACAGATCAAGATTGGTGTATTTTTATAAAACTGCTAAAAACAACAATCTATATTTTTATCTTTTTATATCATGGGCTTGCCCTAGCTTGGAGCTCCAGCTTCGCCACTGGGTAGGTGGCATATGACCACGGCTATACTCTGAGTATCACTATGTACAATAGACGATAAATATTGAATATTTTGTACATAGCAATTTTAGGTAAGTTCTTGTTTTAGTTTTTGAACTTACTTTTTATTTCATAATACGGTACATTAAACGCAAATAAGTGGTGTTTCCCACAAAAGGTTTTTGTGTTTTTGGTTGTCTTATTTTATATCAATAGTTTGTTAATAACTATAATAACAAACAATTGATATACAGTATGATCCTAAAAACAATCTGGATGTATGGCGCACAGCTGTGGGGAAGTGCTTGCGACTCCCATGTAAACATAAAGCAAAGGCTGAAAAATGGCATCTTTAGAACCATTCAAATGCACAATGATTCATCAACAACACTGAGATCCACGAAGCTCTGAGCATAACAACTGTTAAGGAGTTAAAACTAACAGGGAATAAATATAAAACACGACTGAAAAATCACCCAAATGACCTGGCTACAGCGTTAACCACTATCAGCCACACTACGAGTAACTGAACGTCATGATATACAAAAAATATTTTATACGTGGTAGAACCATGCTGCAGTTATATTAGTAGTATAGTTGTTGCACGAATGGGTCGGATCGACCGGGGAAGGACCACACTCTCACAGAATACCAGCGTCAAATAGTAGCTTAATGCTGCTGTGTTTCGTATGGTGAGTGTAGAGAACCGGAGACCCTTTTTACTGGAAACGAGGCATTCCATCCTAGTCCTCACGGGTAACAACGCATATCTACATTTTGATTCGTAATGGAGGATAGATGTAGATGGCCACAGAAACCACTTACCATCAGGTGGACTGTGTGCTAGTTTGTTACCCTATCTTATAAAAATAAAAAAAAACTTGGTAACAGATGGTGAAGGATGAGGTGTCTCTTGCTGAGGAGCTCCTAGGCTAAGATAAAAATGACAGAGTACAGATCTGCTGTTGGCTTTAGTTTTGGACTGATTGTAGTTAAGCACAAAATACACAGAAATTATACAAGGATAGTAGAAAATTGCAGGCATATCCTGGTCGTCAGATAAGTTACATCCATAAGAATTCGGAGCAACTCGCTGGAAGCACATAAATACCTTTAGCGCCTTAGTGCCCGCATATTGTCTTGAAACCACATCGCCATTGTCTGCCCACATCGTGAGGAACGCATTGCGAAGCATTGGTGGCAGCCCGCAGCCAGGAGTTCCCAAACCTAGCCTGCATAATTGTAGTTCCAATACGTATTTCGCTATCGCCGTCTGAAACATGTTATTACTTTCTATAATATTGTGGCAACTATGGCAAATATCCCCTCTCTGTGGCCATCTATGGGGAGGCCTATGTTGGGGACACTAGATAGGCTATATAATTAATTAATGACAGATATCAGTTAGAGTACGAGATGTTCCAGGCATTTGCTTTGAAATTGATTACCTTTAGTGATTATATATTTAGAAATAACCTTACCGTAAAATTTCTTAATAGATGTAATAATGTGGTACCTAGCTACTAAGTAACTAAAAACTAAAGGTACTACACTGAACAACAGGTTTACTAATGTCAAATTCGATTTGGTTTTCGATTTTAATTTAATTTGTTTTGAACCTTATTTTAAAGCTTTTTTAATCTAATTTCTATTAACTAAACAATGCTTTTTTGAGAAAATAAAGTTTCTTTAAACCCAAAAGCTTTCACCTGAAATATTTTGAATCAAGAAACACGATCGAGTTCCGAACAAGAATTTTTAACGGCGTTAGGCCCATCTGGATCTTTTTTTATTCGAAGACAATTTATATCAGGTAAACTATGCCACTATAATGTGTGTATAATATAATACATATATTATGTGTGTATAAAAAACATACTACATCCGTCTCACGCATTACTGTTTTTATACCATTCATCAAATTTTCTATATCTAATATAAGCTGTAATTTAAAAAAAAAAACCCATTGTATCCAAGGCAGAGATGTTTGTCCGAACTAGCGGTAAAATAAAAGAAAGAGTGACTTTCAATAAGTATTATTTATTTTCTTTTATTTCTATGTAGACTAAAACGTCTCTGTCCTGTTTCTGCTCTGTATGATATTCCAATGTATACTTTTAGTAAATATTGGGGTTCAAACGACTAATAAAAACGGCAGCTATAGGCATAACTCACCTGCACTACGTTGGTCCTGTCGAGACAATCGATGCAGTTCACACGGAAGACACCATTTTGACTACAGATCAAACCGCGGTCGTCCCGCCAAGAGAAACGCATTTCACCAATTATGTCGGCGATCGCGTTAATCAGGATGCTGACATTTTCGTAATGCATGCCACGGCTGTCAAATTAACAGAATCAGGCGTTATTTTGCGGAAATAAATCAAATTAAAAAAGTTAAAATAATTTAATTAAGATCCGCATAAAAGATCCTCATCACCACTAATCCCAATATCACTACAATAGGAAAGACAAACCAACGTCGATGATACGACACGTGTTTTACCTCTAAACGAGGCATCATCATCATTAGACTCAGCGGTGTCTGACGTCCATGTAAAATAAACGATATTTATTAAATCAGAGCAACCTGGGTTCGATTCTTGGTGGCACCATTGAAACTGTTAATTGAAATTTCAAGAGCTGGTTTATCACGTGCTCGTTGGTGAACGAAACATTAGTGATGAAACTGCATCCCGAAGTAATAAAAATTTTCGAGGATGTACGCCGGCAACCCTCTAAAAATGAGAGGTCTGTACTTAGCAGTAGGATCTATATAGGCTGTAACTATATATGATTACATTCTCATAGAATACCAGTGTAATACTGTTATTTTATTATTCTGGCTCGCAATACGAAAGCACTTATTGATATACAAAAAAGAATAGACATTCAATAGAATTCTTAACCTTCTCTTTTTTTTAAGTCAGAAAAATTATATGTGCGGCGACGCCGTAAGAGTAACCATCACCGAATTACTTCCCATCGGTGGTAGTATGGGCATAGAATGGGAAAGGCCAGAAAATGTTTATAGTTTCCGATAGATGGCGGTAGAACCATGTTATTTACCCCAGACCGAAAACCGAAATCGTTCGCTGCACTACAGGGCACTGAACCAAGCAGTGGGGCGGTGCGTGCGGCACCGCGGCGACTGGGGCGCCGTGCTGCTGGTGGACGCGCGCTTCGCCGCCGCGCACTACACGCAGCACCTCTCCAAGTGGGTGCGCAGCTTCGTAAGTACACCGCGCTTGTTGACGAACTACGCACAGCACCTCTCCAAGAGGGTGCGCAGCTTCGTAAGTACACCGCGCTTGTTGACGCACTACACGCAGCACCTCTCCAAATGGGTGCGCAGCTTCGTAAGTAGCACAAACCAGACCGGCAACGGGTAGCAGCGTTCCATCAGCCGAGCATGATGATTAATATCGTGTTTGTATATTATACATACATATATTATAGTCTTCTTTTACGATCCGTTTCGCAGTAAATGAAGTGCATCAAAATCTCTTTTTCAAAACAAAATACCAGTTCAACTATTTATGAACCGTGTCAAGTTTTGTAGTTAGTTGAATGTATAGTTTTTAATGTTTTTACATGCACATTGTATGTAATAAAATGGGTCGTTATAGAGAACCTAAGAGATTTAAATGTGTATACTATAGAGTGAACATTTGGACCATTTGCATACAAAAACTGTGAGCTCGCGCGTGTGTTACGCCCTCTAGCGAAACACATTTTAGCTATTCCCCATTAGGTGACGCTACTAAATATAAGGTAAAAATCCGTTTTAGGCACGTCGTCAATCACTAACATATTGGTAAATAAATAGTGACGTTACTGGATAACAGATGGTGCTTATTACAATAATAATAAATGTTCTAGAACAATCTACTAGAAATAATATAATTCAAATATTATTTAGTAAATATACATTATTCTTACAATAATAAACCGAAATCATGTTCATTTTTTCTTCCATGTTGTGACTTACGATACCTTAATGCACAACCGGGCATATTTGACTTTAAAAATGCTGACATTTTTTAATATATGAAACGAATGCGTCTTGACTTTTTGACGATGTCACTAAGGCTAAATGAGAAAAATCGGAAAGACATATATACTATAGGACAAAAGTTACAGATGACAATTTTGTTGCTGATGTCCGGTCTATTACTACTACTTAAATGTCTTTGTAGAGAACGAAGTTTCTAATATAGGAATCGGGCTTTAGGCAAATCCTACCTAAAACGTAACATGCCTATGTTCAGCAATGGATTTCACGGACTGATGATTATGATGAACATGAAGAAGATATCTTACCAATACTCGTGAAAGTCGAAAGTCGCGTAAATAATATCGGGGCTGTTGTATTTGAGCACGTGATTGCCGTACGCTTCCCATATAACTCGTTCCCGGCCTTGTTGCTCCACAAGGTTTACTATGCATACTTGCTTGTAGATCTTCAGTTCCTCTTCGAAATGATTCTTAAAGGCTGCGAACGTCTCTTCTTCCCCTAAATGCAATTTTTATTAAGAACATATACAGTTATTGGATGATATAGGTTCGAAAAATTTATATTGACATTCGGTCACTGACCTCCATATATTATACTAGTACAATGGACTGGCCATACCATACAAAACATATGTTTGAGTGTACCGGGAACTAAATTTGACATTTTGCAAATGGCCGTTGTTTTGCTCAAAGCATCTAAGACATGTTTCGAATTCGAATACTAAAAAAGTATGTAAAATTATTCCCAAAAAGTTTATTGTAAAACCTGAGCTGACCAACCTCCATGAGTAGCATGCATAAGTATTGGAAAGTTGTAGAAATATTTTGAAATTACCTAAATCTGACAGTAGAATAAAAGCTCACGAATATTATAGCTATATTCTGGTTGTAGTACAAATGGCTCGGCTCAACAGGGCAAGAACTATGTTTCCATAGATCGCCAGCGTAACAACTGAACCACCAAACGAAACAACAAACACACCATACGAAACATAGCAAGTGCAACGCATAGCATAGCATAGAAAGCAACTTTAAATAAAATTTTTGAAAAAATTATTTTACATAATGAACAGGTCATTAAAAGAAAGGGGAATGAAAGTGAACGCAAGTAAGACGAAAGTGATGGTTTTTGAAAGAGATGAAAGTAAAACGGTATGTGAAATAAGAATAGAAGGAGAGTTAATTGAGCAAGTGGATGAGTTCGTTTATTTGGGATGTGTATTCAGCAGGGATGGGAGATATGAAAAGGATATTGAACGACGAGTGAATGCAGGAAATAAAGTAAATGGGGCTCTACACTCTATTGTGAAAAGTCAGAATGTGTCAAAAAAGGCACGTATGGCAATTCACAGTGCTGTATTAGTCCCTACTTTAACGTATGGTAGTGAAAGTTGGGTGTGGCAGAAGAAGCACGAGAGTAGAATAAATGCAGTAGAAATGCGGTCGCTAAGGAGTATGTTAGGGCTGAATCTGAGTGACAGGGTGAGAAACTGTGTGATAAAAGAAGAGTGTGGTTTGCAAGATGATGCGGTGACCAGGATTAAGAAAGGAATGCTTCGGTGGTTTGGTCATGTGGAAAGAATGAATGCGGAAAGACTGACAAAGCAAATATATGTTGCAGAAGTGAATGGAAGAGTCGGAAAGGGACGTCCTAGGCGGAAGTTTGTCGACCAAATTCGCGATATACTAAAAATGGGCCAAATTAAGAGTACCCTTAACCGACGAGCATGTATGCGTAAGTATATGGATGTGGAAGAGGCGAGAAAGGTATGTCAGAATCGTGCTAAATGGAAGTCTGTAGTCTCTGCCTACCCCTCTGGGTGACAGGCGTAAGTGTCTATATTTTACATCATATGATAAGTTTTTTTAATAAAAATAAGTTGCTCCATACAAGTCAATTTGGTTTTACAAGGGATCGCTCGACAACCGATGCCGGAGTTGAGCTTATAAAACATATTTTTTGTGCATGGTAGAATCCAAAGGACGCTTTGGGTATATTTTGTGACCTTTCCAAGGCCTTCGACTGTGTTCACCATGAGACATTAATCAAGAAGTTACAGTACTATGGTGTCAAGAACACAACGCTTAGTTATTTCGTATTTAAGTAACAGAATGCAGAAAGTTGTTATCAATGGTAAAAAATCTTCCGGATGGCCCCTACAGATGGGTGTCCCTCAGGGCTCAATTCTTAGGCCATTCCTACTTTTAGTGTATATTAATGACCTATCTTCCCTTGTAGGGGATAATCATGATATAGTATTATTTGCTGATGATACTTCCTTGATGTTTAAACTTAAACGCGACTCATTTAAAGTAGTGCATTGGTTTAACATTAATAATCTACATTTAAACGGCAATAAAACTAAAAATAAAATGTTAACTATCCGAGTACCAACGTGTTTTTAAATGGGAAAGAACTGAGTACTGTTGAGTTGTATGTTTTTCTTGGCATCACCCTCGATGCTGAGCTTCAGTGGGGCCCCCATATATCTAAACTAGCAAGCAGACTAAGCTCCGCAGCTTAAGCTGTAAAAAAGATTAGAGATCTCACCAGTGACGAAACAACTAGATTAGTTTATTTCAATTATTTCCATAGAATAATGTCATGTATATAAAATAATGGAATTTTGCTATGGGGGAACGCGGCTGATTTAGAAACTATTTTTGTTTTGCAGAAGAGGGCCATTAAAGCTATTTACAACTTTAAACCGAGAGAATCTCTTAGAGAATAATTTACAGAAATAAATATATTAACTTTGGCCTTTCAGTATATCTATGAAAATTTGATGTATATTCACAAAAACAAAGGTAGTTTTAGTAAAAAAAGTGACATACACTCTGTAAACACTAGGAACAAGCACAAGCTGGTGCTACCAGTTTCTCGACTCCACAGAGTCACTGATTCATTCCTGGGGCAATGTATACGTATATCACAACAAAGTTTAAATATTTAATTAAACAAAACTGTATAAAAAGGGTTATTATGATATAAATTAATAAATGAGAATAAAATAAATGAGTTGATCGAAATAATGAAAGAAAGAGAATTAGATGTCGTGTGTATGTCGCAGACCAAACGGAAAGGCAGTGGTACTGAAGAGCTCCCTGGCGGGACGTTAGCTATATGGTCCGGAGTCGCCTGCCAGGGAGTGGGAGTGCTGTTGTCGTCCCGGTTGGTCGATCTTATGACTGAATACAAGGTTGTGAACTCAAGACTTCTCTGGGTTCGCTTCAAAATGGGACTGACGAAGTTATTCCTTTTGGCTGTTTATGCGCCGGTAGCTTCGTCGTCCAGGGCTGAGCTGGAGGAGTTTTGGGAGAATGTAAGAGAAGTTCTAGATTTGGTTAAGGGAAACGAAAGAACTGTTGTATGTGGTGATTTGAATGGATGGGTAGGTATCGCTCGACCAGGATACGAGTCGGTGCTTGGAAAGTTTGTCGATAAAAGGGTTAATGATGCTGGCAAGCTTATACTGGCTGTATGCAAGGAAAAGGGTCTTCTTGTGACAAACACTATGTTTAATCACAGGAAAATCCATATGTACACTAGAGAAAGAAAGAATGAGAGAAGTATGATTGATTTGTTCCTGGTGGATGACCGACTGCGAAAACAGGTGACGGATACACGAGTGTTCAGGGGTGCTGACCTGGGAACGGATCATTATCTAGTAATTACTAGATTTAGGGGTTTGTTCGCGGGTTGGCGCTACCGGACGGCAGTAACAGAACCACAGTCGGTCTGTCGCATCCGAAGCTGGAAGCTTCAGGAAGCGGATACTAGGGACAAATATCACACGAGGGTAGCCGAAAAGCTAGACACCATCGATGGCAGGAAAGAATCTGTGGAGAGAACATGGCAGAACCTTAGGGATGGAATGGTAAGTGCAGCTGAAGAAGTATGTGGTACGACAAAAAGAGGTAGTAGTAAAAGAAGAGATGCATGGTGGAATGATGAAGTGAGAGAAGCTGTAAAAAAAGAAGAAAAAAGCATGGTTAGACTACTTGGCCTCTAGTAACGATAAGCATATGAGAGAGAAGATGAAAGAAAGATATAAACTGCAGAAAGTTCATGCGAAAACATTGATTGAGGAAGTACGTGAAAGGTGTAGAATAGAAGCGGACGAGAGGTTGTCGCACAACTTTAGGGAAAACTCCAAACTCTTCTGGAAAGAGGTTGGAAGGTCCCGGAGTGGTGCGACAGCCTTAAGAATGAACAAAGTGCTTTCGAGAACCAATGACGTCCTCTCAGAAAAATCGGACGTCATGCAGCGATGGAGTGAATTTTATAGAGAAATGTATGCGTGTCATGATCTTAGTGAAGGATCCGGGGGTGACGCCGTGACTGGCACGCCAGACACGGACCTCGATGACACTGAGGTCATCAGCATGAAAGAGATTGAACGTGCGATTCGAAGTTTGAAATGTGGTAAGGCTGCGGGACTAGACAGAGTTACTGCTGAAATGGTCAAGTACGGTGGGCCTCGCGTCTGGGACAGCTTCCATCTGCTGTGCAATTTGTGCTGGCGGACGGGAGATGTCCCGGATGATTGGCGATCCGCGGTCATTGTGCCTTTATATAAAGGTAAAGGTTCACATTTTGACTGCGGTTGCTATCGGGCGATCAGCTTGACCAGTTTAGCAAGTAAAGTTTACTCGAAGGTTTTGACACGTAGGATGCAAGAGAAATCGGAAAGATTCCTATGGGAGGCACAATGCGGATTTAGACCTGGAAGAGGATGCACGGATCTAATGTTTTCTCTCCGCATGATCACGGAGAAGCTTCTGAGTGTTAACCAGAAGATTTTCTGTGCTTTTGTGGATCTGGAGAAAGCATTTGATAAGGTTATAAGGAAGAAAATGTGGGAACTGTTGCCGGGATATGGTGTGGATGGTCGATTGTTAAGGGCTGTGCAGTCACTTTACTATGACTGTAAAGCCTGTGTGCGGGTAGGGCATGACCTGTCACCCATGTTTAGCGTCCAAGCGGGCGTAAAACAGGGTTGTGTCATGTCTTCCTGGCTGTTCATACTGTATCTCGACAGCTGTTTACAGAAGCTGAAAAATAGCTGTTTGGGTGTGAAATTGGGTGACATAAAAGTTAATTGTCTGCTGTATGCTGATGATGCAGTGCTTATTGCACCATCAGAAGCAGAACTGCAGGCATTAGTCACGTGTATGAAAGAGGAATGTGAAATTAAAGGTCTCCGTTCGAATGCTAATAAAACTAAGGTTCTGGTATTTGAAAAGGACGAAGAGAGAACGAAATGTGAAATATGGGTAAATCAGGAATGTCTATAACAGGTAAATGAAATTGTATACTTGGGGAGTGCTTTCAGCCGGGATGGAAGATGTGATTTAGATGTGGATAGGCGTGTCGCTGCCGGAAACAAAGTCAATGGTGCCCTGAATGCATTAGTAAAAAGGCAAGGCGTGGTGAAGAGTGCACGCCTTGCAATACATAATGCAGTGTTGGTACCGACTTTGTTATATGGCAGCGAAACCTTGGTATGCCAGAAGAAGCATAAAAGCAAGTTGAATGCAGTGGAGATGCGATCTCTTCGTAAAATGTGTGGCGTTACCTTAGCCGACCGAAAGCGAAACGAAGAGATTCGCAATATGGCAGGATTGAAAGATGACCTTATCATAAAAATTGATAGGGGCGTACTCCAATGGTTTGGGCACGTTGAACGAATGAGTGAAGACCGAATGGTGAAGAAAATATATAGAGCGAAAGTAAATATTAAAAGGTGTCGAGGTAGACCGAGACTAACTTTCGAAGACCATGTGAGCAAATTGCTCGAAGAGGGGGAGGGTCAAGAGTACTCGGATACCTAGACGTGCATGTATGAAGAAGTTAATGAACCTGAAAGAAGCGAAAGAGGTATGTAAGGATCGTGACACTTGGCGATCTGTTCTCTCTGGCTACCCCGTTAGGGATTGTGCGTGAAGAAAGTAAGTAAGTAAGTAAGTAAGTAAATTAATAAATGGTTGATAATAACCCCTGGGAATGAGGTGGTCGCTTCCAAGCTGTTTCTAAAATAAATTTTGTAAATATTTTGTGACAATTATTGCATTGCATACAATGCATTGTAAAATTTATTTTAAAAAATCCCGCTGGATTTCTTGCTGGTTTTTCCCATGACAGAGGTATTTTTTGAACCAGTGGTAAAGTAAAATATTGACTTTCAATAAGAATTACTTGTAATCTATATTGAATAAAAATTATTCTATTCTATTCTATAGTGTTTCGTATGGTAAGTGTAGAGAACCCGAGACCCTTTTTAAACTCCGAAATGATTACGAATCCATATTTTGATTCTTAATGGAGGATAGATGTAGATGTCACTGGGACACAGCATCCAATTACAATCAGGTAGACTTCTCGTTCAGGAGATGGGCAGCAGCATCTTCCTGATAATAACAGTGATATAAAAAAATACTGCGGTTGCCAACTCGCTCGCCAAGCGTGGCAACTATGGCAAATATCCCCCCATGAATAACGACGCAAACAAACGGCTCCCAGTCCCCGGCGGCCCCGCTATTCCTAGCTACGGTGGCGACCATGGTAACGGCGAGGCAGGGGCTGCTAAGAATCTCCGGTGGAAGTTCAGTTGCCACCTACGACGACTCGACCTGGCAACATATAACGCACGCACCCTGAGGACTGGCGAGAAGATACTGGAGGTATGGAAGAAGAGGTAGACAAGTTGTGCTGGCATATTATTGGATTATCCAAGGTCCGAAGAGAGGGGGAGGACAGGGTAATCCTCGAGTCCGGCAACTTATTCTATCACCGGGAGGGCGACCATCTGTCCCAAGGAGGTGTCGGATTTATCGTCCACAAGTCTCTCGTCAACAACGTTGTAAAGATTGGGAGTGTGTCGACGAGGGTCGCGTACCTGATACTCAGAATCACCAAACGGTATTCGCTGAAGGTCATACAGGTTTACGCACCAACCTCGGCACATTCCGATGAGGAGGTGGAGGAAATGTATGAGGATATTTCCAGAGCCATGCATTCCTCAAAAACACACTACACGGTGTTGATGGGAGACTTCAACGCAAAACTAGGCACAAGAGAAAACGATGAGCTGAAGTTAGGGAAATTTGGAGTAGGGCAACGGAACCGAAGGGGCCAGCAGCTGACCGACTTAAAGGAGAAAGAGGGACTCTTTATGATAAACTCTTTCTTCCAGAAGCGGCCCCACAGCAAGTGGACCTGGTCGAGCCCCGACGGTTCGACAAAAAATGAGATTGACTTCATTATGACGACCAGACGCCAACTGTTCAGTGATGTCTCAGTGATCGCAAGGGTAAAAACTGGCAGCGATCACCGAATGGTTAGAGGCACACTGAACCTAAACGTTAAGTTGGAGAGGTCTCGTCTAATGAAGTCAACGCTCCGTCCCCCTCGTGCTCTAATCCAGAATCCCGAAACCTTTCAGCTCGAGTTACGTAACCGCTTTTAGTGCCTAGAAGATTGCAATGCAGTGGACGAAATGAAAGACAAGCCCGTGGAAACTGTCCATGCGGTCGGAGCTAAGTTCTGCAAGACCCGCCGCAGAAGAACACAAAAACTCTCCGATCACACTCTTAATCTCATGGCTGTTAGACAGGAGATGAGGCTGCAATCGTCAACAGATTTGACAGCAACTGAACAGACAGATCTCCAAATGCATGCGACGAGACTTGCGCAACTTTAATACTGCTCGTATTAAAGAAGCGATCGAGCGGAACCAGGGCTTCAAAGTCTTTGCCAGAGATCTGTCTGCCAGAAAGAGCCAACTGTCAAAGCTGAAGACTGAATGTGGCAGCATCGTTTCCGGGACACCTGAGATTTTGAGTGAGATTGAGAGGTTCTATGGGCAGCTGTACACATCATCGTCGGAGCCACACGCAAGTGTGAGTAACGATCCAAGAGCAAGTCTTATCCGACACTATTCCGATGATATCCCGGACGTCAGTCTGAGCGAGATTAGAATGGCTCTCCAGCACCTTAAAAACGGCAGGGCCCCAGGCGAGGATGGAATTACAGCGGAGCTTCTGAAAGCGAGTCGACCGCCGGTATTTGAAGTCTTTAAGAAGCTCTTCAATTCCGTCCTCCATGCTGGCACTACTCCGGAGGCGTGGAGCAGAAGTACGGTGGTCTTGTTCTTTAAGAAAGGAGACAACGCTCTCTTGAAGAACTACAGACCGATTTCCCTTCTGAGCCGCGTCCACGTGCTGTTTTCGAGAGTCATTACATTACGGATTCAACTCGGCTGGGCAGCGTTCGGGAAATTATGACATGTCTTCTCATCAGATATACCTCAAAACCTGAAAACGAGACTGTACAACCAGTGCGTTTGTGGCATTACTTGGGGGAGGCCTATGTTCAGCAGTGGACTTGTGAAGGGCTGTAATGATGATGATGATGATTATGATGATGATGATGATGAGACTTCTCGTTTGTCACTCTTAATCTATATAAAAAGGAATAAAAATAAACTTTAATTAACTTTGAAAAAAAAAACATATAGAGATTTCGATTGTTCGAAATCGATTATTTGTTACACGTGTAAAATTAACTGAAATATAAAATATAAAAATTAATTGCTGAATATTACCTCTATCGAGACGCGGTGGTGGTCTGAATTTGTAATCAGGCTGACTCCAGAATATTGGGACGGAACCACGCACCTGTAAGTAATAAAATATTGTAAAATATAAGCACGCACGCAGCACGCACTATACGTAATAAATACACAAGTGTACGCACTAACTACATATATAACTATATTATTATGAGTCATAAAATATTTTCAAATATAAGGCATACACACAGGCACGGGGTAGTCTTTTTGTTCTATTTTATTTTTACTAGATTTATGCTACAAACAAAATGTATAACAATTTTTTATGTGCTATTTTACAGAATAAGTATTATAAATTGCGAGTAGTGAATTATTTTATTACTAAAAATATTACACATTTTTACGATTTACGCTGCAAAAGAATTAATTTTAAATTAAATTTAAAAAAAGTGATGTAATTTATTCATTAATATTTATAAAAAAACAGCGCAATCCTTCGCTCATTGTTCTCTGTTCTTCCTTTAAATCGTACCGACGAATGTCCTAAAATTGCTTCCCCCCCCAATAATTATGTTACGCCCCACACAGCAAATGTGAAATAAGTACTTCTATTATTGTATTTGTTACCGGCCAAATCCGATCTCAGGCCAAACTAGTTTGTCCTAGGCCGTATCGGTTTATCCTATGCGTATCAGGATATACTAGTTTAGCCCAGGACAATCTAGTTTGGCCTAAATACTTAAGGCTTAACTAGTTTGGCCTAGGCAGAACTGATTAAATTATTGAATTACTTAACCTAACTTAAAAAAATAATCCATACAAATTAACTGAAATTATACAATAGGAATCATGCATAGAAAGTTTTAAAGAACATATAGAAAAAATTGTACGTTGTTGATTACATAACAATTTAATAATGAGTAACTTCAAATATCATATAATTTAATATATCATTGTTATATATTAAATCAAAAGTTAAAGTTACAGCCTATATACGTCCCACAGCTGGGGCACAGGCCTCCTCTCATTTCTGAGGAAGTGTCCGCCGCGCTGCCCCAATGCGTGTTGGCGAACTTCACGTCTTCGAAATATTTTATTTTTATTATTTTTCAGACATGCAGGTTTCCTCACGATGATTTCCTTCACCGACGAGCACGTCGTAAATCAGCAAAAAATTGCAATTAACAATTTCATTGGTGCCGGCGGGGATCGAACCCAGGTTGCTCGCGTACTGTGAAATTTACAGCGAGCGCTAACCATCTGAGCTACCACAGCTCTATATTAAATTATGTGTTAGTAAAAGAAGTTTCAGACAGACTGGTATCTATTTTTTATTCTCTTCAGTTCGCTAAAGAGTAGATATTGATAGTTTCTGCTGCTACTTTCAGGGATTACGTACTCTTTTATTTCAAGTAGTTATCTCGCTTTGGCCGGATTCAATATTGATTAAAGTCGGTGCATGTTTTTGGGTCAAGCACGTGCAGGCGCGCTACTTTACAGATTTCAGCACTAAACCAACCAAAGTTTGCACGTTTTATGTTTTGCGATTTAAATTTCGAATAGTTGTACAAATTGTAAACATTGTAAAATGTATTTGTTGTCACAAATATAAATGAAATAATAATATTTTTTGAATGTGTTATAGAAATAAATAAAAACTATATTATCCAATCAGAACTTTTTGAAATATAATTATTTACTAACAATTACGTTTTTCTAATCGCTACATCTATCTTATCACACAATACACAAACTCTAAGTAAATACATATTTTGTATGCATCCCAACTAGACAAGCAATAGAAATATAACAAATAATAATAATCATAGATTATTAAGATCCATATATAAATTAAATTAACATAGCACACGAAATTTAGGGACTAAAATGGCGTCTACTTTCAGCGCAAATGTAATAGAAAGTAGAAACTACACATCATAACGGTACCTAACTATAACGCTGATTTTCAGTACACGCCACAAACACTAAACATAAAGTATGTTCACGAGATATAGCATAAAAATGTTAACATGTACATGTAATTCATAAATAAATAGATTAAAAAAAAAAACTTTAATTTTTTAAGTAGGCACATAAATAAGTTGTTTTAAACGATAGAAAAAGCAAATATGAGAAATAAAATTAGGTATTGCATAATTTGAAATACAAATTAAATTTTTATTTACTGGTCCTAAATAGAAACAATCCTTTCTTCGAGTTATATTTTCGGTCGAATAGATGAACCGTAAGGATCCTCCCGTGTAATATATAAATCAACTAGCTTGTCAGACAGACGTTGTTCTGCCCTTTTCGACGACACTTTGTCGTCGCCTATTAAAAATCCTTAAATTCGCAAAAAAAAAAATTGTGGGTCACTCATAGGCAAAAAAAACTATCCTATCTCTCAAGTTGGACCAAACTGCACACGGTGTGCAAGTTTAATTGAAATCGGTTAAGTAGTTTAGTAGTCCATCGCGGACAAACAACGTGACACGTAATTTATACCTATATATATTAAGATGATCCTCCCAGCCGAACTTGTCAATTTTGGCTGGTGTTAAATCGATGGCGGGTGTCGGAAATACAAATGCTTTTATTCTGTTTTATTTATTACTTAGCCAGAGTAACTTCATAAAGGGAACTAAGTTCAAATGAAACTAATTTTACGGATTTTATCGCTTGTATTAACTTATTTTAATTGATAGAATCAGGCGTTACTTTGCGGAAATCCATTATAATAAAAAATAAAAATATAAATTTCTTTGCAACTTTCCGCTAAACATATAAAATGATGTGTCTTACCTGGATTGAAGCGCACCTCCCGCCCTCCCTCAATTGCATACACTAACTCCGTCACCACTAGACCAAGCACCACTACTCTCAACACCACTATTCCAGGCAAGACACACCATCGACGATAATACGACACGTGTTTCGCCTCTACACGAGGCATCCTCAGGTAATATAGACTCTACGGCGGCTGACCGCTAAGTACTTAGTGTTAATTAAACACGTGTCGTATTATCGTCGATGGTGTGTCTTGCCTGGAATAGTGGTGTTGAGAGTAGTGGTGCTTGGTCTAGTGGTGACGGAGTTAGTGTATGCAATTGAGGGAGGGCGGGAGGTGCGCTTCAATCCAGGTAAGACACATCATTTTATATGTTTAGCGGAAAGTTGCAAAGAAATTTATATTTTTATTTTTTATTAACTTATTTTATATCTCCGTTTCGAGTACTTTACAGCAAACATCGTCACAGAAGGACTGAGGTGTTCGACAAGTCATTCAACGGTGTCATAGTAAATCACAGGTACCTTCAAGTTAGCTTCATTCAAACATGTAGTCTCCGCGTAAACATAAGAAATCATTAGGTTTAACTAAGTTTTTACGATACGTAATAACCGTAGAAACTCCTTGACATACTTGCTGCATTATATATTCATAAATGTCTTCATATCCGTTGCAATCAAGAAGAGGTACATAACTATTTAATAACAATTTACACATTATATGTTATGCCCAACGAACTGTAAAATTTAGAATTCGTTGTTTATGCCTTACTGCTGACCACAGACCGTGTAGTGGCGGTGTATAGTCTGTTCGCTTATACCCCTATTACACTACCCTGAATCAAGATCCCTACGCCGTTTCAGGGTGGTGTAATAAGAGAAAGAGAGTAAGGGTCCTTAATTAGAGCGTCAAAGTGTACCCCGTTTGAAGTACCCTTCCACCGTGCAGTGTAATACACTAAGGGACTTAACACTAAGGGAGTTAAGGCACTTATTCGATGCGCGACTAGGGATGTAAACGATACATCACTTCTTTCAAACATCGATATATGGTTCATGAACATGGTTCTTCATGTGCTATGTTTTATGAACGATGTTCTGCCGTTAAACGAAATAACCAACTATTCGAAGTTATAAAATTCTTAAAAGTTGCGAACGATGATTAACGAATTTTATGTTGGCAAAAAATAAATTTTCGAAATAAAATATGTCAAAGTTACATAACGTCTAAATTTTTAAAGTTGGAAGGTTTACTAGTAATTATCAAAAATAACTCGAATCCCGAAAATTTTAATTACGAATCAACAAACAGGCGAATGGTCTTTCAGCTGAAAATAAATATACTTGAATTTCAGAAGTACAATTGTCTTCTATCGGTAATTTTTATTAGTTTATTCCTTATGTATGTACGTATATATTTAAATGATGATAAAAACACCGAAAAAATCGATATATCATGCATAAGCTTTGATTTTTTTAATGAGCGATGTTGCATCCTATAGATGTGCTTACTTGGAAATATTACGACTCGAGTTAACTCAAGTTCAAATTCACACAACTTGAACTAAACTCGAGTTACGCAACTAGAGTTAGCAGGACGAAACACAGTAAATGATTTGTCACAATTACTTTAAAAATATCGATTCAATAAATATATATACTTTTTTCACTTGTCCATCCCTACAACTGAGTAACCCATTCACTGATTTCCTAAGAAATGACAACATTACCCCCATGCCGTCCTATATTAGTATTCAACCCGCCCATCGGCGGTTTCGGCATGAGGCCTTAGATTTCGACATGAGATTTTTTTAATGTCTAATTTACATGTTCTATGCGTTATGTAGAGCGTGTTTACATACATTTTTATGTTATTTCAGAAAAAATTGTGTTAGTTTCATTTATTGTTGTTGTTAACCGAATTATTAATGGAGTGTGAAGGTAATGCAAAACTTTCAGCTAATTCAATTAAGACGAAGCAAATGTATACTAATCTGCGTATAAGACAGATTTAAGCTCATATTAGTACAAGAAAATTTAAAATGAAATATAAAAGCATACATTTTAGGGCTTTTTTTTCAAGTCATGCGCAGTCAACCTTTTTGTATGTTTCATTTTTTTCCAACGTCTTACCTATTTTGCATTAACTTTGGTAGGAATTAGGCAGAGGAGATAGTCTCAACTCGATACACTAAGTCAAACAGCAAACGAACTTCCAAAATACTCAGCAAAACTCAAAGTGTGGAAACCACGAACGTTATGTTGCGTGAAAGCTTTTTTCGTAGACTATTTTTTTTTCTATAATATGCTACTTACTTA